CCCGCCCCGCCCCGCCAGATGGCCCATTTATTCCGATTCGCAACCTTTCACGAGACGAGAGATCTATTGCTGAACGATGCACGGCGCGGTCTAGGATCCGATCCGACTCGGCACGACAAGAGGCCCTGCTCCGTCTCGCTCACTCCCGCGAGGTACGGGACGGGAAGCGACAGTGAGAGAGAGAGAGAGAGATGGGGTGAGGAGAGAGAAGGAGAGGGAGAACACGACGACAGCCCTGGGGGGCTCGAGTCCGCCGCGCCACGGCGAAGCGCGACGCATTCAGGACGACAAGCGCGCGGCCACCTGCTTTCAAACTCACTTTTACTCCGGAGGGGCGGGGAGCCCCACGGGAGGCCTTGAGAGAGACGCGCCCCGCAGCCGGTGCCACAGAGAGCGAGAGTGTTAATAGGGGCGCAGATAAGGGAAGTCTTATCTCGAGGCCGACACGGAAAGTGTTATTGTTTCTGAGCGGAGTTCGGAATTGTGGCGCGGAGTAACACCCAGAGGGGCGGGCAGAGAGCGGACAGAGAGGCGTTCTCGCAGGCATGCATATGACGGTTTAGACCGGCAACAGTCGTGTCTGGAAGCGCGACGCTACCCGCCCCGCCACACTACCAACTACCACGCCCCGCACTCGGCGCGACAAAGTGGCCGGCCACCCGCTCCGCCACGCCCCGCCCCGCCCCCATGGCGGCGACACACAAACCCAGTTGATACGAGTGTTTGCGCTCAGCCGCACCTGCGGGGCAAATGATGATGGTTAGCGTCTGACATTTCTGCAGCGCGGTGGATTCAGTAGAGCGTTTGTCCGCCCATTCCCCACACCACATTCTGCTCAGAGCGCTCTGAGGCGGGATGCTCAGCACTTTGGTGTCTGGATGTTGTTCAGAGCTCGACATGAGACTGACGTGTCTGTTTTGTCCTCAGGCGCCGCAGCGGCCGCAGGGGAGGGTAGCACGCCCGTGCTGCAGGCCGCAGCCCACCCCGACGAGGACCACGGGCTGCCCGACGACGCTTGGCAGGTGGGGACCCGCGTCGCGGATGTCGGGGCAGCACCGCCCCAGCTCCGGACCAGCGTCCCCGCGACCCCCGCAGCCGCCAGCAGGTCTGCCTCCGGTGACGCCACCATGGACGACGAACTGAGGCACCACCTGAGGACGCGCTCCATCAGCACCACGGGGCCGGCCCCCCTCGAGGACGAGCCCAACGACAACCTGCTCAACGACGCCCCCGCGCCGCCGCCTTCCTCCGTACCGGCGGTGCAGCGGGACGCCGTCGACGTGACGGCGGCCCGTGGCGCCTACTACGACATCCAGCCCACGAGGACGGCGGCGACGGTCGACGTGCAGCCGTCGGGGGAAGCAGAGCGGGCCTCGCGGGGGCCGGGCAGGGCACGGTCCCTCCCGGTGGAAGCGGTGGCGAGGCCCGCCGACAACACGACGACCTCTAGCGAGGCCCCCGTCGGCACCAACGCCAGTTCCAACGCCAGCGCCGACGCGTCGCACCAGGCCCGGGACACGGCCGGCAACGGCAGCAACACGGACCGCGTGCGCGACATCATCACCGGCATCGTCAAGCTGCTCAACGGGAACGTGAACGTGGCCACGCCACCCGCGTCGGCGTCCTCGGCCAAGGGTGGCATGATCCCGGGGCCCGGCAGGCCCATCCGGCCCATGCCCATGGGGACCAGGATCAACAACCGCGGCCCGCCCAGGATCACGGACCTGCCGCCCATGCCGCCGGACTTCGAGAAGGCGCCCAAGCCCCCGCTGCCGCCCCTGCCGGCCGTGGTGCCGCTGCCGCCGCCCCTGCCGGCCCAGCAGCCCTTCACGCCGCCGCCCACGTTCCCGATCGGGCAGAGCACGCGCATCCCGCCGCCCTACCCCTTCGACATCCCCGACCCGGTCACCTCCGCCGTGCCGCCCCCGTCGGCGCAGCCCCCGCCCTCCTCGGCCGCCCCCGCGCCGTCACCTCCCGGGCCGCAGGTGCAGGAGACGCCCGACGAGGGGCCGCTGCCGCACAGCCCACCGGCGCCCATCCCGATTCCCATCTCCTACCCGCACAAGCAGGTCACGGCGAGGCCATCTCCGCCGCCGACCCCGACGTCGCCAGTGTCCGCTGCCACGGTAGATGAAGAGGAGGAGGAGGAAGAAGACGTCCCGGAAGAGAAGCCTACCGCCAAGCCCCGGCCGAGCGCAAAGCCCTCGTCCAGGCCTCCGGCCCCCGCTTCCTCGCCGCCGCCCTCGCCGCCGCCGTCGCTCCCCTCGCCCACCAAGCCCCAGAGCACCAAGCCGACCCCTCCTACCAAGAAGGACCGGGAGAAGGAGAGGGAGAAGGACAAGCTGAAGGAGAAGGAGGTCTTCGCCACGCCCAGCGCCACCATCCTGCACATCTCCACGGCCTCGTCTACGCAGGTGAGTCCCTTTCGACAGTGGCGGCCGTCGCACGGCTCGCGACTCGCCGCGCGCTCGACTCTTCGACCCGACTCGACCAAAACAAACAGACTCATGCAAATTGCACTTTGCGCGGCTGCAAAACAGACCAATTAGGCTCGAGGGATGATTACTGGTTAAGTCTGATAGTCATGAGAAACGATCGCGGCCCTTTCCCGCGCGACATTTGAAATTGACGCCTGATTTACGACTTCCGTGCGAATAACCAGCAGCACGATGAGCCGCCGGCCCATTGTGCTGCGAATAGTCCTTTGCCTTTGTCTCCAGAGGCCCGTGTAACGCATCCAGATTGGGACTGAGACTGAGCGCTCAGTCCGTCCCACGCGGCCCCGCCGCGGTGGCGTGAGCCTGTCAGGGCCAAAACGAGCGGCGCGACTGTAGCGCCTGCCGCGGCACCGGGTAGGCCACTCGCCGCACGGGCCCGTCTGCGCCCAGACCGGGTTGCCTACCCGAGACCCGCAGGCGCGCGGAGACCCCACCATATGCCGGTGTGATAGCACTCGTGCAAATCGTAGTATAGAGAGGCGCAGGTTGGCGTTGGATGTCACACTTTGGAGACGGTATGACTTTGACCGTCGTGTTCTCCCCCGGGCCGGGCGCCCGTCGGGCTTTCTCCGGCTACGCCGCTGCCGCCTGCGCTCTCCCCCCCCCCCCCCTCTCTCTCTCTCTCTCTCTCTCTCTCTCTCTCTCTCTCTCTCTCTCTCTCTCTCTCCCCCCCCCCCCCTCACGTTATCTGCGCATTCCTCGCGCAACCGGCAATTTATGTCCGCCATGCAGGGGCCATGAGGGGCGGTCAGTGGCCAGCGCTGACCTTACCGAGAGGTATGGCATGGGGGCCGCGCAGCCATAGCGCCGCGGGGCCAGCTATGGGGCCGGGGGGAGGGGGGACGGACACGAGCAGCAGGCGCACGCCGTGCGGCTTTTGGAACAGATATAGGAGCACAATGCCTCGCCTTGGCCGCGGAGACGCGCTGATTGACAGATGCAATTTTCCCGCCGCCTCACTGGACGCCGCCCCGCGCCGCGCCACCAAACAAGCCGCGGCACAGAGACAGCCGCGCGCCGGCCGCGCGGTACGCTACGCTACGCCACTCCGCGCCGCGGCCGTGCGCGTTCGAAACAACAGCGTATGACTGTGCAGCGGCCGTGCGCGTTCCGGACGCCACCCCACATCTAGGCGGACTATGCGTGACTTTCGGGAGGGGCCGCCGACTGGTGCCGGTGGTGCCGGTGGTGCCGGTAGTGGCAGCACCCCGCGCATGTCTCTCGCTGATAGTCGGGCTGCTGGCTGGCTAGTACCGCGCCACGCCCGCCCCGGCCGCGCCAGGCAAGACCGACTCATCATCAACGAACGGCTGTCAATTAAACTCCAGCGCTAACGGCGTGAGGCCGGCGCCGGCCTGCGGCCCGGCGAGGGGGGGTGGGGCATTCCAGGACGACGACGACGACGACGAGAGTGACACGGTAATGTGATGGGGTTCCTACCGCCCGCAGGTCATGCTCCCTACGCCCTCGTCCGCGACGTCGACCCTCTCTGCATCGCCGGCCTCCACGGCGGCGACGGCCAACTCCAGCAGCGTCCCGGCGGGCTCGGGCGCGGGCCCCTCCAGCAGCCCAGCGCCCACCAGCGCGCCCCCGCCGCGGCCGGGACCCCGACCGGCCGGCCCGGTGCTGGAGTCCTCCATCCAGGAGGTGGCCGTCACGGCCGAGTCCGCCAAACCCACACAGGTACCTGGTACCGCTCCACCGCACACATAACACCCTGGTTAACACCTTGTCGGCCCTGGTCCGCTGCTTCTCCGCCCTCATGATTCACCCCCCGCGCCCCCAGCTCACCGCTAACACCCTAACACCTCAAAGCTTTCCCATTATCGAGTGCAATCATCATCACGATCACACCTTCCGCTTTGTCGCTGTGCTTGGCCATTGTGAGAACATCTTCCGTCACCTGCATAACGTTGTTGTAAATACCACGTACTTCTTCCCCGCACGCTGCGTCCTTGTGGCCTTCCCCGCTGACCGATACGCTGACTGTCCGCAGGCCATCCCGATGACGCCCACCTCATCCTCGTCGTCACCGAGCACTTCGTCAGCATCCGCCACGTCGTCGACGTCATCTTCTTCCACAGCATCCTCTGCGACCTCCAGCACCAACTCGGGAGTGGTGTCGCCAGCCTCTAGGCCTCAGCCACCACCGCCTAATACCGGTAAGTAAACAAACAAAACAAAATTAATAGTTTTCAGATCAAGTCCTTGTGGCCACGAGCGCTGCAGCGGGTGCACTGCTGGGCGGGAGCCCGGGGGGGGGGGGGGGAATATCCACAATGGAAAGGGCTCCCACAACCAGCTATTACTCCTCATACTTTGACAGGCGCTTAGGTCCATCCCCCCTTTCCCTACACTCTAGAATGGAGCCAATTAATATAACCTGAAAATGCGTGAGGTCTCTCTCCGGCCTGCTGCGCGTCGCTTCGCAGAATAAATAATTCCCGTGGTCTCGAGTCCATACGCTCTTCTCATGAGATGCCGTTATAGCCGGGTCCCCGCCCCCCGTTCCTCATCGAAGAGATCGAAGCGCGTCCGAAGAGAGAGAGACGGGGGGAGAGGGAGCGAGAGAGACAGAAAAGGGGGGGGGGGGATTGTTTCCCACTTCTAGCTCCGAGAGATCGCATCCTCCGCGCTCGTTTGGTCACGCCAACGACGGAGGAATATAATCTGGCCAGTGCATCATTTTTTCTTCGTTTTAGTATTTTGGACACGGCCGACGTGCCCGACGTGGCTGTTGGCTGGTCCAATCACGTTTAGTGCCCCCCCCCCCCCATAGTACGCCAGGGTGGGCCCATTGTTTTGAACCGGCAAAGCCCCCCCACTGCCACACGGCCTGCGGCTGGATGGCTTTTCCAGGCGGTCAGCCCCGCCGAGCCAGCAAGAGAGCTGCTTGTGTCAGAACGCAACGCGCGAGAAGAGTACGATCCGAAAAGTGGCACACGGAGCGGCGCAGCGCAGAGAGATGCAGGCGGGGAGGGGCGAGGGGGCGGGTTGGCATGTGGCACGGCAGGGCCGAACTGTAAGTCATCATGAGGGCATTAGGGACTCCCGCCACGCCGCGCCACGCCACGCGGTTTTAAGCATGCAGTCACGCCCTGCTGAACCTGGGCTGGGCCGGACCGGGCCGGACCAGGCCGGTCCTCCCAAGGTCCTGCCGAGGTCCTTCCAAGGTCTTTGTGAGGTCCTTCCGAGGTGTTTGTGAGGTCCTTCCGAGGTCCACCCGAGGTCGTCCCAAGGTCATCCCGGGGTCTACGCGAGGTCCTCCTCCCAATTTGCTCCCGTGGTCGTCCTAAGGTACTCCCGGGGTCCTCCTGAGGTCCTCCTCTCGAGCGCGGCCCTCGCGTCTTCCCCGCTCGTGCTCGTGGTTCCTGTGCCTATGGAGTGCTTACCCCAACCCGACTTATTGGCCGCCCGATTGAGACATCGAGTCTGGTCTACGAGCAGCACAGAGGAGGAGGGTCGGAGCCACAGCGATACTCTTATTCCTCATCCCACTTATTCTCTAAACGGCCGTAAGAGGCTCATGACGGCTCTGCTGTGGGGGCCTCGCTGCGCACGCACACACACACATCAAAAGGTCTTTCCGTTTCCGGACGACCCCCCCCCCCCTTCTTCTCTACCGGTGTCATGTCGACAGGAGACACGTCATGCTCTAGATTACGCCCAGAGAAGGGCATTAGAGTCTCCAGCACGCCGCGTGTAGAGAGGGATGCCGGCGCGCGGCTCCGCTCCAGAGGCCGCCACCGCTGCTGCTGGAAGCTGGAAGTAGTGTGCTCTCTGCTGCTAAATTCAATCTCGCAGAGGGCGTCACGCGCGAGTCCTCTACGACGGCCGCGGAGCGAAAAAAAAGAGAATAGAGTGACGCAATGAGCAAATAGCGTGGCGTGGAGGGAAGCGCGCGCGACCGTACTGCTTTGTAAGTTTTATGCAGGGCGCAAGGCGCAATCCTATCGCCGGCCATCGCATCTCCTCCAATCTCGACTCATCGCTCCCCCCCGCTGACCGGATGTGCACAACAAACCGCCCGGCCTCGCCCGACCCGGACCTGACCGCGTAATAGTTTTGTGCAAATTAAGCAGAGCATCGCTCCCTGTCGGGAAGGCGGAGGAGGGGGAAAGGGGG